ATGGACGCTCGTGTCGAAACGTTACATACTCCTTGCGAGTTAACCGCGAGAGCGCGAGCGCAGGAGAGCCGATTGTGAAGAGAATGCTCGCGAGAGAATGCGTCGTGTATACACATGTACACGTTATATACGTGTGTGTGTGTGTGTGTGTGTGTACGTACCGACAATAAAATCGATTTTTCACACGGGGCCGTTTATCATGCGGCCGCGATAATGGGGCGTGCACGGAGATACGGGATAAATATTTCGAAGTAAATAATCGTTAGCTCTATGGTATCGGAGTGCCGAGGGGGCATTAATAATGCCGGGTGCCTGTCTTTACGCTGCACCACGTCCGAATAACCTCGAGTCGGCGAGCCGCGCGCCGTTTTCGCGCATGGGGATGATCGCTCCTCTCGTATCATTCGCCGGCCGTTCGATCATGTCGAGTGCCTGCGCCGTTTAACCACTTCGCACACGATTCTCGAGTCGCGGTCGTTTGCAAAATTGCCGCCGTCGTCGATCCGCCGCGCCGGCGAACAATGAGCGGTGACGAACAGAGCGCACGCTTTGAGATTCGCGAGGATTTTCCTTCTTGAGAATCAGCGGGATACTATAATAATTGCGACTCGATTGCGGAATAAATATAGACCTATAATAACGCATCGAGAAGAGTCGCGCGGTCGCTTCGTATCCAGAAAATTGATTTTTACGATACTGAAAAAATCTGGTAATAATAGATAGATGTATGTAAATTCGAGCATTGAAAAGAGAAAAAAAGGCGAAGATTTTTAATGCAAAACGCGTGCAAGCATACAAATATCTTTAAATAATAGTTACTACAATATAAGAATATCATCAAGTAGATATAATATTGAACATAATGAATATAATTTTGTGCCAATTTCTGATTAGTAGCAAATTTCTAATACTTAGCGACTTCATATTGGCTTATAAAATTTGAGACAAATTTCTGATTGGTCACAAATATTATCATTACGTTGCTTTGAACGACCATATTTACAGCCAGTTTTTATATTTAAAACGCTTTAAGATGTCATAAGTTGATCAGAGAATTATTAGTATCTTTTAAGACATTATGTAAGACAATCTTAAAATAAGAATGGACAATATGAAACAACCCACAGAGCTGTATTAGCGTCTTAAGACGTTACTTAAGACAATCTTGTAAGAACGGATTATGAATACCGATAATATAATACTAATAAAACTTTGATAAAATTGGTGAAATAATTTTAATTAAAATATTTGATTAATAGATCCAAAACTAACTAAATGCTAACTTTACTGTTTTAAATTATATATTTGTATTATACATTTATTTCTCTAATTATTAGCATAATCGGTTGTTGTTTTAGTTTGGTAATATTTACTAAATAATTTACTAAAATAATAATTTAATAAAAAATAATATTTACACCAATAGGCTAAATAAATAAAATACATTTGGTAGCTATTACCATACTTTTTTTCGATAAACAAGGAAGCCGCCAGAAGAAGCGCATTTTGTGTCAGATCTCGCGTTGGATCTCGCGTATACCATTTGGAAGACACTTCCTGAGCTAACTGTCCAAATACGAGCTCGTTAAACTGCCGTGATCCGTGACGGGATCAATGGACGGGATTGCAACGGAGTAAGATTAATTATCGTTGAAAATTGTCTTCTCGACCCGACGGCTCTCTCTGTCGACGCGATCACTCCGGAACGCCATTCCTCCCGAACGAGAGAAAAAAAAGAGAAACAGAGAGAGAGAGAGAGAGAGAGAGAGAGAGAGAGAGAGAGAGAGAGAGAGAGAAACTGCAACGATGCCCGTGACAAATCTACGGCGATTAATCTCAGTTGAATACCTTTCCGTGTTGTACACGCCAGCCAGCCAGCCAGCCAGCCATCCAGCCAAGCTCGGTCGCGTTTATTGCTCGGTCCGCGGTAGACAGTGACCGTTTACAAGGTGTAACTATGTGCGGCCAGGTGGTCGATCGTCGATGCCCCGAACGAAAATCGACCCCGTCAGAAATGACCCCCAGCTGAGAATTCCCCGGTCTCTTTATTTTTATTTCTCACCTCCTACGGCGTTACCTCTTCATCCTCGCTCTCTCGCCTCATCTCGCGCTTCTCGGCGCTTACCGGCGCAGAATGAGCTCCGTGCCTCCGGTCTGCAGATCCGGCGGCTCACTTCGATAATTACGTGATCGATACGCTAAATACCCTGCGGGCAGATTATGTAAATAAACAGATGCGCGTAGCTAATTGGGTAACGCACGCGTGCGCGCGCGAAGGGAGCCGCGAACAAACAGCGAACAGGTGAAAGGAAGGCGAATTTTTTTACAGGCTGCAGGTATTAGACAGATCGAAATCTTTGTCGTCAAAGTATCGGCGGCAAATATATGTAATGTAAATAAGTGATGTAAGAGCGGAGGAAGCAAAATTTTTAAGCTCTTTTGAGCTCGCTCTTGAATCTCTATAAAGGATGCTCTAACGTTAAATGCCTTTATTATTCCACGTGTAGGAGAAATACGAACACAGAACAAATAGATGAGAGCAATACGAATATTTAGAGACAAATATTTGAAAGACAGAAATTTTTATCATCAAGATATCGGAAAATATAACGAAATAAGAGCAAAGAAAACGGAAATTTGATATCTTCATGAGAAATGCATACCCTAATGTTATCTTAATTATTCCACAGGGATATACGAGCAGAAAGTACAATTTGAAAATAATGCCAGTTTTTTATAAGAAGATATCAGATAGATCGAAATTTTTATCACTAACAGAGAAAGAATGGTTTTGTCGAAGTGATACAACATCTAAAAATAATTTCATTAGACCATCAAAATATAATTATGTATGGTACTCAAGCTGATTACTAAAATGTTAAAACTTTTTGCAGCATTGCTCATCAAGCTTGAGATTTCTACTTAATTACTTCAATAGTCCAATAACATTATTTTCAGATCTGTATTTAAATATATATTTTTTTTCTAAACTTCAGCATGGTTAAATTTATACTTTAGTAAAATAGTTCTTTCCTTAAAAATATCGGAGAATATAAAGTATGTATGTATATAAGAACGATGCAAGAATTTTAAATTTCTGTTCCCTCAAGATTCCTCAAAGAACGTTCTAATAGTATTTTAGTTAGATTCCAATATACTTTAAACTTTAGTAAGAGTAGAAAATAAAGTATACTATCAGATGATGTTGTTACGGTTATACGCAGGGTGCGTTCAATCGATAGCTCGTAGCGCGCGCGCGCGCGCAGCCGCAGCTCGCACGGGAGAACGAAAGAGAGAACACACGTCCGAGTTTAATTTACTAATCTACCAACGTCGAACGCACACAAACGCTGTAGACGGCTAAAGGGGATAAGCGCGCGTACCTTCATAGAACGCGAGAGGGATATCCGCGCGAACCTCGGGGCAGAAACTCCTCTAGGGGCCCGCGCGCGCGCGCTTCGGATTCTTATTTCCTCATAAATAATTTTAATGACGCGCCGCGGCAGTTCAGGTATAAGGCCGGGACCTATATGCAGATCCCCGTATCCGTAGGCAGACTCCGTATTGTTATTTATTATGTTCGCCGTAGCTCTCTCGTACGGGGCCCCGCGCGCACGCGGGAGTGCCCGCCGACCATTTTTCATATCAACGTTCCTCCGCGCCGGGGGACACTGCAGCCTGCACCCTGCGTGCCCGCGGTTTGTAGATTTTACACGTGTCGTCGAGATGCGTGGTTTACTTCGCGTCTGCACGGATGATAAAAGCAACTATCCGAAGAGCCAAAGCGCGTCTGAATCCAATTCGCGAATCAATCCCCTTAGGGTGACTATATACGGCCACATTCTGATTAACTCAATCGGCGACCGATTCGAGCAGCGAAATTGCTCGCACCGAAATTTCTGACTGTACAAAAAAAAAAATCCATCGTTACTAATCTAATTTTTTCCACAAAGAATTAATAATTATATCTATGCAGTTGACGAAATACTGCGGATACCGTTTGACAAGTTAATCTCGAAGTTTGGCCAAAATTAAGTCAGCGCTCTGCATCCTCAACATCGGAGAAAAGATCCTATTATGTTACAGGTAGAAAAGAATAAAATATATATTTTATACAGCGCAAATTAATAATATTAGCGATACACACACACGCGCGTAATACACGTATCATCTTTTTTTGCAAATTAATGCGAGCATTGGTACGGAGTAACTGCCCCGAGGCCCATGTCCCCCCCCCCAACCCCCCAATCCTCCTGTCGACGTCGCCTCTCGCCAGACGACAAGCCAGAGAGGGACAGCTCTCTTCCGCGGATCGAGATGAGATCGCGGCCAATCAGCGCGACGCGTCGCCGTGCCCCTATCACTCTCATCCACGCTGACACGCTCGGCGGGGATTCAAGTGGGGGAGAGACGCGTGCGAATTGCGACCGCGTGGCAGCGCCACCTTCGCGCCCTCTCTCGCTCTCTCCTCTCTCCCAGTGAACGTGGTGGGCCGTACGTGGCCGAGCGAATCGCAGTCACGGGGGTTGGATCCCGCCCATCGCGCCCATGCCGCCCATTCGACGACAGCGGGATCGGGGGGTGACGAGAGGGGGTGGGTGAGGGTTTTTACGATCAAGCACGGCGCCGCGTTCGCTCTATGCCTGTGTGGCGTACAGCATCATCCTGGCCGAGCGCGCGCGAGACCGGGAGTTACGTTATTATAGCAAGAGGGCCCGGAGCGTGGACCGACTCTCCCGTATTGTATATCATGGTGCTCCTCTCGCGCGTCGCCGTCGCCTCCTCGCATGGCGCTTAACGATCGCCGGCCGTGCTCGCGGAGTTGATAGCTTAGTAACTCTCGCGAATAATTTCCTTTGCCGCATCCGTCGCGATCACATCCGTGACGTCCCGTGCGATGTCGCAGGAAGGTCGACAGCAGCCGTGAACGATTGAGGGTTATTATTATCTGCGTACCGGTGCATCCACAAGTTTAGGGGAGCTCCTCTTTACGTCGATCTCTCACGAAGGTCATGAAGGTACGTATCGCTGATACTTGTAAACGTGAGGAAGAAGGTGAGCTAGAATATATGTGGTCTCGTATAATAATACTTATAATATAAATTGAATTATGTATATTTTTGATAGAGCAATTTTAATCTTGGTTTAATTTTTACTTGTTATTATTTCCTAATTTTTTTGAAACTAGAAAGGTAAAAAGTAAATTAAACCGAGATTATTAGATTAAATCTATATTGGTAAAAATGCTGAACATTCAGTCACAAGAATGATTCAAGAAACTAATAAAATATATACATATACTACATATAACAATTATTTATGATTAACTGATTTGAATAGACGTACGATAGTGGTCTTTCAATTTAAAATATAAGATAAACAACAATTCATAATTTTGCTTATTCTTATAAATACCATTCACGAATTTTTGAAAGAACAATGATACGATTCGATTAGTTTCATAGTTTACCTTATAAATTGTTTTATCTCACGATGTACTCAATGCAATCGATCGACATTGCATTCAGTACTTGAAAATGTATTAAAAATTTCTGACCTTTTTTGGATTATTACAAAACCACAGAAAAAAACAAATCATCGTACTTTGTGAATTCTGAATAATTATAAGCGCATATATTATAGGCGCAATTAAAATATTGAAAAAAATCTCTAATACTTGCATTACTTCGTGATGAAATAAGGAAACAGACGAGCCAAAACGCAACAAGGCAATTTCATTGATGCGAAACTTGATGAAGATGATGAACAGTCAACGTTATTTCGTATCTCCGAGCAATGACCTTTTCAAAATAGAATAGACAAAACTCAGTAACTATAATTTTCTCCGAGTCGCGGCACTGGAACTTAAATAAAAAGACTAACTGCAAATTTGATTGGATGCATACTAGTGCATTTAATTAAAACCGTCGTACACAAATTGTAAAAATGTGTGTATTTAACATAAATATAAAGAGAGATTAAATCGTGAAATTCTCAATAGATTGTATTATCCTATTAAATAAAATCTATATTTTATAATTCGAAATATTTACATTTTATTTTTTTACACATAAAATCAGTGTTCAACAATTTTAATATGCACTAATGCTTACTTGTGCGTCCAACCAAATCTATTTTAACACTATAAAGAGATGATATCAATGTTATGATAAAAATATTGCAAGAATTTAGCGAACAAACATTTGCAAAATAAAACTGTATACTAAAAAAGAATCTGGTTGCATTAATTGGAAGTTTTATTGAAAATGGATAAATTAGAATTTTTTTATTAAATCTATTATAATTCTTGTTAAGATAATTAGAATTCTGATATCAATGTTATGATAAAAATATTGCAAGAATTTAGCGAACAAACATTTGCAAAATAAAACTGTATACTAAAAAAGAATCTGGTTGCATTAATTGGAAGTTTTATTGAAAATGGATAAATTAGAATTTTTTTATTAAATCTATTATAATTCTTGTTAAGATAATTAGAATTCTGATATCAATGTTATGATAAAAATATTGCAAGAATTTAGCGAACAAACATTTGCAAAATAAAACTGTATACTAAAAAAGAATCTGGTTGCATTAATTGGAAGTTTTATTGAAAATGGATAAATTAGAATTTTTTTATTAAATCTATTATAATTCTTGTTAAGATAATTAGAATTCTGATTGATCAAAATCTTTTGATTCATTCATTTTCAATTAATTAAAATTTTTTTAATGTATAAAATAAGACCGCGTAAAACTTGAACAAAATTTGATTGCTCAAAATCAATACATCAATAAATGAGATAATGAATTCAATATCATTGTTTGTTTTTTTTGTGCAAATACGTGATGTGTTAAGATCGGTGATCATTAAAGTGTCTTTTTTTGTTGACATTGTATCCACAATGTCGAGACATTATTCATAAGTAACAATAATAAAGTAAAATAAAATATGCGATGATAAAACTTGCGAATCAGACGCTTTGTTTTAGCTGTTTATCATCTCGAGCTTCTTGGAATTTTAGTGCGTTGACCTCGTGGTCGCAAGGGATCAAGAAAACCTAATAGAGCGTCTATACATATATGATAGGTAAACCCCAGAATTTCGCGATTCCGGTGGGTCATCATCAACTAATTGCCACACGATATCTCGTCGTAGAATTTAGATCGTTTTAGATTATTGTTAGTAAAATAATTGTTAGTAAAATCTCTTGCTTTGCTTACGTTCGAATATAGAATTGCTGTTCCGCGTATATCTCAGCATTTTTGCAATATCGCGCTCAAAATTAATACGAATAGTGTACTCAATAAAAAAGTATTTATCAAAATTAGCAAAAAATTAAATAAAAAGGTAAAATCAAAATTATCTGTAAAAGCTTGTGAATACATTTAATTTTATGTAACCCAGCGAGTTAATCGTTTATATTTCAGACTCTATCTTTACATCTCGCTTCGTTTCCATGTCGCAGTATAGTTACTATATGTATCATATATTAATATATTAAATCAATGGAAAACCGCGTGGTACATATTAATATAAACTTTGATGTGTTAATGTCATAAAGGAGATTCAAGATCTTTATTTATGTTTCTGGATATAAGTCTGTCGCTAACTCACGCTAACTCACGCGGATGAATTACGCATCCGGCTGTAGGTAGACGCGCGCATGAAGCATACCTACGCGCGAGCGAAACTGTAAATTCGCGTAAGATCACGTCGCGGGGACGGCCCACGCCAAGAGGGTAGTGCCGTGAGTTGTTGCCGCGAGTTGAAGGCGATCCTTTCAGGATCGGCGACGCGTCAGGATCCGCGGCGCACGCACGTGTGGTCCAGTAAATTGTCCACGTAAAGCGCGCAAAATGCCGCATCAGCCTGATCCGGAGTTATATGGCTGTTTTTTTAAGTGTCTCTCTCTCTCTCTCTCTCTCTTCCACTGTCGCGACGAACGGAGTAACGCGCGAGCGACGAAGAAGAGACGTGGGGTGAGAGACACGAAGCGAAACGAAGGGGTGGCAGGAAAACGCAAGATGACGCGATTCGCGAGGCGCGTCTCGCTTAGAACGGATTTATCGCTCACAAGCAAGTCATACGTAGCCTATAATTCAGAATAATTATTAACATATTTTACCTACGTACTCTTTTCGCTATGACGTAACGAAAGAAAGTTTAATACAAGAAGGGTTAACAAAACGATAACTTTGAAAATTTAGCAGTCAAATACTGTTATGTTATAAATTATACGCAACTCGGATAAATCGCCGATATCTATTTGCGATTTTGGCAGCGACTCTGTGAATAACATAATAATTGTATGATAATCCGAGGTGTAATCCGAAATACGATTCGATGTTTCGATTGCGTGCCACGAATGTGCAGCATTCGAAAATTTCGTGTCTTAAATTTTTTATAAAGAACACAGTTTTATTAGAGTATTTAAAAAATTAGCTACATATAAATCTTTTTTAGTGTTGCTGATATATCATGCTTGAGTTGTTTACATAATTATTTTAATGATCCAATAAAATTTCAGAGACTATTGAGTTATGCTACTATTGCAATATTGAAAATCGATATTGATTTTTCATACAATATGTATTATTATTATTATAGTATTTAACGCTTTCCGGTAAGAGAAGAAACATGATGTAACAGATCTCGATATTTTATGCAGTATTATTACTAAGAATCAGTATCAATTATTTGATACACTATATATTGCTATTGTAATTTCGTGTTCTAGCTGTAACAGTACTTTTTAAATCCTTTGAAGCGAAATATCACTGTAAAAAGTAAAAATTGAACCAATCTTGAAAAGACACAACTCAATTTTCAATCTTTAAGAATGAGATTTCACTCTTCAGAGTAAGTTCTTCATTCTAAAAGTTTTACAGAGTATCGATATATTTTAAGCCCATTGCTATATCATTCTATCAATATTCGTACCTATACATCGTAACTCAATACTAAAAGTTAGTATTGGGACAGTAGTATCTCACCGCAGTACTCAACTCGGGGGTAGCTAAATTTTTAAATACTTCAATATAAAATCGTTCTCTCCCTTGGTCGCCGCTAATAGACCGGCGTAAAGAGACTCTCGATGACTCTCGGCTTCTGCACGCGTCCACCGAATACAATTGGAGCGCCAGGCTTCCATTATACGTGGCGTCCAGGGGATGCACGGGTGTAAGCGACAACGTCACGCAAAGGCACTGACGCGCGCGTGGGCAGCGTGAACCAACACGATGCGGACACCGCATCGAGAGTGCACGCACGCGCGCGAAAAGAGCCGAGCGCCATTGTCACGGGCTCTTTCGACGTCTACTCCATCGGCGACTTCGTCGGCTTCAAGGTGCTTCGGGCAATAAGCGCGGTTCGAACTAATCGTGAAACGAATCTCTTTTTTTCCCTCTGCTTCTTCCCGCGGCACAATGCCTCAGACCCAAGATAGACGGCGGCAACGGCGACAATGTGGCGTGCGAAACCAGAAATCGGATGGCAATTTAAATGGATCTCGAGTGGCCGGTCGGGAGACCCCACGTCCCTCCCGCCCTCCGGACGGATCGGTGCCACAGGTCTATTATACCTGTCCATGTGTGTGTGCGCACGCAACGATCCGTTTCCACGCGAAGTGCTCCTCTTTTACGAAGGCGTGAAAGAGGCTCGTGCCCTTCCCTCTCGCCACGGACCTTCCGACGCCGACTGCGGCCGTTTCGAAGAGGCCGTACTAGAGATACACAAAACCCCGCCGGAGTATTTATTTCCGATCGCTCGTCGTCTCGAGACAGGAGGACAGTCGGGCCTGTGTAGTCGGCCACTTTGTCAACTTGTCACCTGGACTCCGTGTAGACGCGAAAAGAACGAGCTTAGGGGCGCCCCGTTCGGAATAGATCGGGATCGGGCTGCGTTCTTTCTCACCCCGGGAAGTCCCGATTCTTCGTCGCGCAACATTCCGTTCTCTTGACGTTTAATAATTCCTAGAATGCTATCGATATTGAGCGATATAGTATTGGTAGTAAG